GACTGATATTCTATAGCTTGAGCCACACCTCCGATCCAGTTTTAAAAATTTTATCCTGGTTAATCAGAGATTGAATCTTTGGACTTTTTCTGCCTTGGCTGGCCTTGAGCCTCTATCCTCAGATCTCTCAGCCTTCTACCAGCCATGTGTAGGATTTATTTTTCTGTGTTGTATAGATCTCAGGGTTTTTTTTTTGTTATTCTCAGAATATTTATATAGTTGTTCTACACACACATGCCAGGGTGGCAGATTCTTTCTTCACTGATTTAAAAGGCTACCTATATGGATGATTAAAATCACATATACTCCCAAAGCTATTTCTGAGCTTTCTGTTTTGTTCCATTCATCTGTGTATCCTTGTTCCAATACAAAACTATTGTGTTGTATTTCTGTATTTAACAGCACAAGCCTACTATTATTATTTTTCCTTTCCAAAGTATTTCTTGGCTATTCTCTCTCATATACACCCCCATCAGAATCAGCAAAGCCTTTCTGCAAAGAGCCAGGTACAAATATTTGAGGTTATTCAGGCCATAGTGGTTTACACTAGTGCTCAGTTCTGCCCTTGACTGCAAAGCAGCTGTAGACAGCGAGGCTGTGTTCTAATGAAATACTGGTTATAAAACAGGCTTGGGCTTGTTTTCTCTTTAGGACAACATGTCACCTCCCCTTTTCTAGATGAAAGTTTTTTTTTTTAAATCAAGTTCAGTGAGACTTTATCCTCAGAAATACATGAAAAGTACACAGTGTTACATACGTGTATAAACCTATTAGGTACATGTTCTATGCATATATATTACATATAAGAGAAGAATTTGGTTAGTAACATAGTCCTCATGAAATGGTTTGGGAGAAATGTTGTGTCTTTATAATGAAAGCATCTTTTAAATGATGCTTCCCATCAGGCAGCATCGGCATTCTTTGCATCAGTCATCAACGTTTTATGGTTTCCTTCACGAGTCCTGCAAATTTCTATTGAACTTTGATGATCACTGCAGTGCTTTCCTCTCATTTGCCATTGTGAGTGGGTGCTGTGATGCCTGTCTTATATTAACCCTGTCTACTCTGTGGTTTGCTATAGCAAGATCACAAGACTCAGAGTTATGCTGCCCATCTGAAAAGGAACGGGAGAGAGGCTGGAGGAATTCACCCACAGTTCCCTGCCTTCTGGCTTTCCCTTCCTGCTGGAGGCCTCTGTGAATGTGATCCTGCCTCCAGGGTCCAGTGCAGCAACTTGTGATTCTGCATGGTCATTAAGAACCTTTTGTGTCCACTGCTAGCTTTCATTTTGAGTTTGTGGCTTTAGTTTTCTTCCAGTGTGTAGAAGGTCTGTGTTCTGTTTTATCAGGAGAGTGTGTTGAAATTCAGAGTAGCTCATTGATGGTCATGATTGTTACCACAGGCTCTGATTTAAAAGGCTTACTTAAAGCCTGAGGAACAGTCCCTCTCACCCTCCTTCCTCCCTTCCTTCCTCTTCTCTTCCGCTTTCTCTTCATGCTTTTCCCTCCCTTCTTCCCTCCCCCCCTCAACCGTTTTGTAACTCTTCCTTGTAGTAAATCATCACAAACAGCTTTCTCACCCTGCTTATTCAAAGGAAAGCAATTTAGCTTCAGGGAGAAGGTGAAGCTCTTGGAAAACCTACTTATGAAAGGGAAAATCTCAGATGATTCTTAAGAAAGGCTTAGCTGCCTGTTGCAGAAGAGTGGCTTTCGATTGGCTCTGTGTTTCCAAAAACAAAGAGAAATAAAGCCATTCCTGCAGCTGGCATATAGAAGTAGCTCCTTCATTGTGTATATATACCACATTTTCTTGATCCATTCATCTACTGAGGGACATCTGGGTTGGTTCCATATCTTAGCTATGGTAAATAATGCTGCAATAAACATAGTTGTACTGGTAGCTTTAGTATGGCCTTGTTTGTGATCATTTGGGTAAATGCCCAAAAGTGGGATTGCTGGATTGTAGGGGAGCTCTATGTGAAGTCTTTTGAGGAACCTCCATACTACTTTCCAAAGTGGTTGAACAAGTTTACACTCCCACCAACAACGAAGTAAGGTTCCCTTCTGTCCACATCCCCTCCAGCATCTGTTTTTGTTAGAGTTCTTGATTTTTGCCATTCTAATTGGGGTGAGGTGGTATCTCAATGTTGTTTTGATTTGCATTTCTTTTATGGCTAGAGAGGTTGAGCATTTCTTCATGTGTCTATTGGCCATCCTTCTTTCTTCTTCAGAGAAGTTTCTCTTTAAGTCTTTAGCCCACTTATTTATTGGGCAGTTGTTTCTTTGAGGATTTGTTGTTGGAGGATTTAATTTTTTGAGTTCCAAGTATATTTTAGATATGAGACCCGGGAATTCTATGCCTCCATCAGAAAGAATGACATTGCCCCATTTGTTAGGAAATGGAAAGGCTTGGAAAAAATTATATTAAGTGAAGTAAGCCAAGCCCAAGGAAACATAGGTCCCATGGTTTCCCTTATTTGCAATATCTAGTATATGTATGAGTCAAGCAGAAAAGGTCAGATAATGTGATGTTAGGAAAATGAACCCTTAGATATGCATTTTAATGTTTTTTTCTTTCATGCATTTGTTTCTAACGCATTTATAAGATTATTTCTTTGTTGCTTTGTATGTCCCTCCCCCACAGTATAACCCCTGCTTTCACTATATTTGATGTCAGTATAATTTGTGGAGGAGAAGGGAAAAAACAAGTCATTTAAGGATACAGGTGGACCCGATGCAACTATGAGAAGTACAAGTAGTCATGTCGAAAATGAACTTTACAACTTTGGTGGGGGGGTAGGATTGGTGGAGGGGCGGGGGAGGCTGGGAAGGGATGTGAAGGGTAAACAAAGGAGGAGGCTGCAATGCTTGATAAGAAATGTATTCATTATCTTGCCCATACAATTGTAACCCCTCTGTATAGTATGTTCACAAAAAATAAAAATTAAAATTAAAAAAAAAAAGAAGTAGCTCCTTCACCACCAACACCACACCAACCCCTACCATCTCCACCCCAGTTAAGTCTGGAACCTATAACTGACTATACTCCTGACTTACCAGCACCCCAGGCTGTCTTTGTAACTTCTTCCTCCTATTTTTCCCTAGGGCTTTCTTTCAAAATACATGGTTTCTTTTATATAAGAGGTCTCCAACCTCTTAGAGGCTAATGGGAAGCTAGAAGTATAATTGTTTCCTATCTTAAAATTCCCCCAGTGAATGGCAAGGCTTGGCATTCCGCGAGGGAAATGCTTTGACTAGCACAGAGTCAATGGACTTGAGTTCTCCCTGGATGTAACTTGCATAGGCACCTCCTCTCTAAACTGTCGTGATGCTGAGAAGCTGTACAGAGGCAAAGCCAGAGAAGTCCAGTACAGAGCCCTGCTTGCAGAGTTGAAGGAGGGGTTACTGAGATTCTTTGTGCCAGACTGGCCAGGATCTGTTTGCTGTTTACTTGCCCTGGTACTGTTCACTCCCATTTTCTTCAAGGGATGCTACACATCTCTTCATGTTTCTCCAGGATGCACCTCTTCTTGCAGGTCTTTCTGTTTGTCTTTGTACTCTTTCTTGGCAGGATCAGTTCTGGCTCCTGCTAGTTAGTTTTTAACATCCTGTAGTCCTGTGACTCATACCTATGTTTCAGTTGATTCCATTTCCTCCCTGGAGGGTAAAGGTGCACCTGTAATGTCACTCACTAAGAGTTCCTGGCCACAGTTCTTTTACTGGGAAATTACACTTCTTCATCCATGAATTCAACCAACCATGACTCAAAATATCTGAAAAATCTTTTGTCTGTGCTGAACATGTGCAGGCTTTGTTTTTCTTGTAGTTATTACCTAAACAACATTGTATAACAGCTATTTAAACAGTCTTGCATCCTATTAGGTATTATAAGTAATCTCAGAATGACTTAAAAATGCATGGAGGATTTTTGGGGGTTCTATGCGAATATGGCATACTTTTATGTAAGAAATGAGCACTGGAGGATTTTGGTATCCTGGTGGGGGAGGGAAGACTCTTGGTATTGGGAGATGGTTGTGTGGGAAACTAGGCAGGTACCAAATTGGAATAAATTACTGACCCCTGTAAAATGCTGGTTTGATCATGAATTGCTTTTTAGCAAGAAGTTTAAAACCTAATCTGGGCTGGTATATAATCCTATAATCCTAAATATTAGGGAGGTAGAGATCTGAAGAGTTGTTCCAAACCAACTTGGACAAATGTTCATGAGACTTATCTAAAAAATTTTTAAAAATAAGTGTAGTACCCCCTACCCCTAAAAAATTGTAACGTAGATAAAGTTTTTTTTTTTTAAATTTTTTCTTCATGAACAGGAGACATTGACTTACCCATTTCTACCACTTTTTTTTTTCTGGTCCTGGGGTTTGAACTCTGGGCCTGGGTGCTGTCCCTAAGCTTTTGTGCTCAAGGCTAGCACTATACCACTTGAGCCATGTCTCCACTTTTAGCTTTTTCTGTGATTAATTAGAGATAAGAGTCTCATGGACTTTCCTGCCTGTGCTGGCTTCAAACCGTGATCCTCAGATCTCAGCCTCCTGAGTAGCTAGGATTACAGGTGTGAGCCACTAGCACCTGGCCTTTCTACCATTTTTTTTTATCTAACCACTCAGGAAACACCAATTAATTTTGATAGGAGACCAAACAAATCATAATCAGGAAATAAGCCAGTTCCAGAAATTCCATATCTCTCCTATCTTTGGCCTCTTTTTGCCTTTTCTTCATTTTTCTAAATTATTCAAGCCATCTTTCTTTTTCACTAAATTGAATCATTGAGGAATCCATCCCCTAATATGATAATTAGAGTATAAAGTGTCTTAGTGCTCAAAGACCTCACAAATGCATTTAAATGTTGAGTCTAAATTGTTTCTCAATAATAAAGGAAAACAGCTTCTGTGAATGCATGTCCCACTCATAGGGTGAGACACATTGCCAGGTGTCCTGTGTCATTCTTTAATAACGGAATGTCACTTGGCTCTGTTCCAGAGTTCCCTAAAGAGAAGAAGCAGCCGGGAAATGTTCAAAGAGAAGAAAACCTTTAACCAGGTAAGCTGAGGCCTTCATTCAAAATGTTTTGTCTCGGAAAGAGGAAGCTTACCTTGCTTTGAATTGTCTTGAAACAGTCAAAGAAACATTACTTGCCCAAACATCTGTATTTATACAAAACTTCCATAGGTGAACATTTTATTTCTGAAACTACAGCTTCTTCTGTTGATTTCTCTCATGCATTGACAGCTTTTTAGGAAAGAGAAGAAACTTGCTTTGTGTGAAAATATAACTAGGTGTAGTCCCAGGAGCTGGCCATATTGGTAGAAATGCTTTGGCCTTCAGAGTCATTCATACAGTAAAGTAATTCAGCTACTAGACAGTTTGGTCATTCATTAGCCATTGTTTTGAGAGTGTATGTGTTTTAAATGTGTAGCTGAAGAATATGGAAAGAAAATTTAATTTCCAAATGGAAAGTAAATATTTAAGCTGAATAATTGGTAAAGGCTCAGTTAGCCCTCCCTATGTACATGATAATGTGTTCTACAAAGCTTTCTTAGCTCTTCTGAAAGTTGTTTTACTGGATTCCTTTCTTCTCTTTAAAATTGCTGCTAGTATTAGGTTCTGGATAGAACAAAGGTTGCATTGGGCTATCAGCTCACCAAACACTTAAGAGCAAGTAGTAATTGGAGAAATACAATAAGTCAAAGTTTTGAGGAAGGCCCAAAGGCTTCAGTGTAGTACTACCCTGAAAATTCCTCTTTCCTGATTCCCTCTGGTTCCTATGTTCTCCAAACTCATGGAGGAGGGTCCAGTCTCCTGAGCAACAGGAATGCCAAGGATTAACTATTTTCTTTCACCCTTAGCCTTCTAAATCTCATTCTGAAGTCCATTTATCACAGGGAAATTAAGGGCATCTCATTGCTGGGCTCCTCCCCTTCCTGAGCTTAGAATTTGTTTCCATCTTTCTGGCTCTTGGCCAGCAAAAAGCTTTTCTCTTCTTTACCTATGATAAGAGGAACAGCATTTACCCATGGGTAAAACAGGACAACCATAGCTGCTACTGCTCCCTGGGTGGGGATGTGTGGGTTTGCCCTGCTCTGCCGGTGGGGTAATTGAGAAAAGAGTTTCTGTCCAGCAGAATGGTGGAATGGAGCACCTCGGGAACTGCAGGTCGGCCACCAAAACCCAAAGGAAGCTGGCGCCTCGGCGCAAGGTAGGCATGCGGGCAGTCAGCCGCTGGAGTGCTGGCTAGATGGCAGACTTGCAAGCCAGAGAATATATACTAAATTATGGCAGTATATTTCTGTTGCTTGTCAAGGCCTTTCCAGCTGGTGGTGACGGTGCTGGTCTCTGTGTGTTTGAACCTGTGCCATGCTTGCCTTCTCTGCACTCAGAGGGAATAGTTTCATGTGGAAAGTTAGACTTGGTCTTGTGCTTTCATACTGCATTCTGGGAGCTATCCTCTGGGCTCTTGGAATCAGAGCTTGGTACTCTTAATCTTAGGGTGCAGTCTAGAGGCCTCCCCTACAGTCTTGGCTCCCAATAGTTGAGCCAAGGCTAGGATTATCCTTCTGATAATAATGGCTACCCCACTCAGTTTCCTCCCAGGATTAGGATATGCTCTCTCACACACAGGCTTCCCTGGGAAGTGGGCCCCATGCCAGTGCAGTGGCCTCGGGGAAGGAATCTGACTCCTTCATTTACCACCCACTCCTTTGGCTCCAAGGTTGTCGTTCTATCTGACTCTGCTTCAGGCTTGGTGGCAGCTTTGTAGTGCATGAGCGTTGAGTTGAAATGACAGCATGCTTTCCCATATGTCAGGCTCCTACTATTTCTATAGTTTCTTTCTTTAGGGAACAAGAAGACTTTGTGGACATTTTGTCATTCCTCAGGTAATCTGCAGATCGATGGTCACTAGGGCCTGTCATGGAGTGCCACTTTAACTAACCTGGTTTAGGCTCCAGGAGATAGGGAGAAAATGGTGTTAGCCATAGTAGGCTTGTAGGGGGGGTTAGTGGATAGATGGAAAGAGTAAAAGGTTCAAGGTTTTCAGAAAGCCATAGTTATTGGAGGGCTCTGTGTGATTTTCTACTGGCATAAAGGAGTGTAGATATATACTCAGAACTTCCACAATATTTTACTGTCCTTTTCAGAGGCCCTCCTTCCCCCCAATTCTTTATTTTGCTTTGGGGGAAGGGAGAAGCTCTTAGAAGAGCTGTCTGAGAGTTTCTGATCCAGAGACTTTGTGAGCTGTGTAGACCCCTTTCACTTCTAACACATCAGGGCCTCTCATTGGTTACTGTCCATCCCTTTCTATGGCCTAGTTTGGAGTCTCAGGCTGGAGGTGGCCAGAGGATGGAGCCCAGTGTCTCCATTGCTGGACCAAGTTCTCTTCAGTGATATCTACTGCCCAGATTTATCTGCTTCAGAGGTGGAAATGGGATCCTTTAGGCAATTTTGGTACAGGGCCAAATGCTGGCTATCTGGATAAGGCTGGGTTGAGGAGCCTCCTCTGTCTTCCTCACATTTAATTCCCCCAAGAATTCACTTAAGTTATCTACAATCTTTCTCCATGGATGAGTCTTTTACCTTCCTTTAAAGTCCATTTTTTATTTATTACACATCAGTCAAAAGGTGCTTTTAATTGTGCTACTTTAGAAAGTTCTAAGACACTGGGGTTGTTTAAAAATAATGCCAGTTTCTGCTACAGAGTTGGTACTCAATATTTGCTGAATGAATGAATAAGGAATGAGCAAGTATGCTTTCTGTTTGGTACGAGGATAAACAGTGTATTTTTTAAGGCCTGTGTAGGCTCTACTTTAAAAAAAGTTATTACTGTTGTATCAATGATAACTCATTTTTCTCAGTGGTTATGAGTAGGACAATAACCCTTTTTTATGTCTCTCTAACTAACACCTAACCACATTGCTAATGTGATAAGTTCTTATAACTTAAAGGTTATTTATAGATTACTCCCCTGTCAAATGGGGAAAGGACTAAGCAGGGGAAGGAAACAGGGCTACCAGCTACATTCATAATTTTAATTCAGACAAAGTAGCAAGTTAGATTTAGGGCACTAGGGTAAGATGATTTGCCAGTTACAACCCACTTTGTGCATTTCTTTTTTTGTTGTTGTTGGTTGTAGGGCTTGAATGCTGTCCCTGAGCTCTTCAGCTCAAAGCTAGCACTCTACCTCTTGAGCCACAGTGCCACTTTTGGGTTTTCTGGTGGTTTATTGTAGATACGTAGATAAGAGTCTCATGGACTTTCTTGCCCAGGCTGGCTTTGAACTGTGATCCTCAGATCTCAGCCTCCTGAGTAGCTAGGATTACAGGCATGAGCCACCAATGCTCAGCTTGTAGGTATTATTTTAATGACCTCATAATGACATTGTGGTTCAGGGAGGATCCTGCTTTGGGAGACAGTATCATTTCACCTAAGTCCTTGGATAGTGTTTGGGGACAAAGCTAGGGCTATGAATAGCATATTGGACCCCAAACCCAACAGGACTGGTTTTGTCCTCTTCCTCTCAGAGGACAGTGGGAATTCATTTCTCCTCCCATGGCTTTATGGGAGAGAAGAGAGGCCAAGGTAGGGAGAAAAGGAAAGTTAGGTTAGTGTCTGTTTTATGGCTTATATGCTGCCAGAATATGGCAGAGTGAGGTGGGTCCTCTGAGCATGAAAGTTATGCTGACTCTACCAGATCTTTTGAACAAAAGTGATCCTTTGTCAGAGTTACTAGTTTCACCCCCAGACAGTGGATTTGTTCTTATGGGTGGTTAAGCAGCCTGGCCCACGGTGTGGTGAATCTCAAAGCTATAGTTAACACTTTATCCATGGGATACAGAAGCCTTTACTAGTGTCATTGCCCCACTCCTCCCATTGCCCTTTGAAATTTCTGTTAACCAATCAAAGATGAAATTGGTCATTGTTCCCATTCACTGAATATGAATAATAAAACAACTTTGTAAGGCCTGGATAGAATTCATATTGTTTCAAAGCATGGAGACTCTGATTAGAAAGGCAGAGTTGACTTTCTACTTGGTCTAGAAAGTGCCTCCAACCAGCCAATGCAGGCTATTTGGCATTATAGGCCATTAGTGGCAGAACTTTGCTTTGGTACCTGGTTGCTCTACCACTTCAGTTACATCTCTAGTCCTGAAAAGCCTTTGGGAACTCTCCAGAAATCTCTGGTATTTCCCTCTGGTATTCTGCTGAGAATTACTCAGGTTTGCAAACACTTGACTGAGTTAACTTCCTACTGTAGTATCATAGCAACTGAAGGGAACAGGGTGGGACCAAAGGTCAAGTGGCTCTTGCAGAACAAGCTTGGCCATAGCCTGGTTTTTTTGGTTTGTGGTGGCCAACATGTGTTAGTCATAAGCACTTGATACTGACATAGCACCTCCACTTCCAAAGACCCCTTGTGCTCATCACCTCATTGTCCTGTCTTTATATCATTCTTCTGGTATTTTGAGAAAGGGGAGATGGCAAGGGAGAGGTCCATTGCCAATTGGTGGAAAGCTGGGCTCGGATTGGGAGGTACTTGATTTCCTCATCCTGGTGGAACCTTGTAGATTACCAGCCACTTAGAATGAGAGGGATCTTCACTGGGGAGGAAAAATGCAGACCCTGAACCCCATACCAGGATTCAATGACGGGTTCTGGTGTCTTTCAAAGTGTTGGTGATAAAAATCGCTGGTCACATACAGTCACCATATTACTGATGGTTGTTGGTTTCATTTCATTTTCTCTTGCATTCATGACTTGTATGGTGATTTTCTTGTGCATGCTTTTTACCAAAACTAATCCTTCAGTTTCTTGTCTCCTGTAAAAAGCAAACAAACTATGGGCCTTTCTTAGGTCTCATCCATGAAGATTCTGGGCTCCCTGATGCTTTGTCCTGGCTCCCTTCTCCACGTAACTTGACAGCACCGGCAGAGAAATTGGTGTTTTGTGTTTATGTGTGTGTTTTGGGGGCGAGGTGCGAGGGGAATCATCAAAAACACGAACATTTGGTATTTTCAAATAACCCTTCTCCCGGGCTGTTCTTTCCTGGCAGGAAGACAGTGCCGATTTGAAGTGCCAGCTGCAATTTGCCAAAGAGGAAGCCTCCCTGATGCGCAAAAAGATGGCCAAGCTGGGGAGGGAGAAGGACGAGTTAGAGCAGGAGCTCCAGAAGTACAAGTCACTCTATGGTGATGTGGATAGCCCCCTCCCCACAGGGGAAGCCGGGGGACCCCCCAGTACCAGGGAGGCAGAGCTAAAGCTACGGCTGAAGCTGGTAGAGGAGGAAGCCAACATCTTGGGCAGGAAGATTGTGGAGCTAGAGGTGGAGAACCGAGGCCTCAAAGCAGAGATGGAGGACATGCGGATTCAGCATGAGCGTGAAGGAACAGGCCGGGACCACGTGCCAAGCATTCCTACCTCACCCTTTGGGGACTCTCTGGAGTCCTCTGCAGAGCTCCGCCGACACTTGCAGTTTGTGGAAGAGGAGGCGGAGCTGCTGAGGAGGTCCATATCTGAGATCGAAGACCACAACCGGCAGTTGACCAATGAGCTGAGCAAGTTCAAGTTTGAACCTCGCCAGGAGCCAGGATGGCTTGGAGATAGCACAGGTAAGGGCCCTGGAACGGGGGTGCCACTGCAGGAGGAATTAAAGTCTGCCAGGCTGCAGATCAGTGAGCTGAGTGGGAAGGTCATGAAGCTCCAGTATGAGAACCGAGTGCTGTTGTCCAATGTCCAGCGCTGCGACCTGGCTGCCCACCTGGGGCTGCGTGCCCCAAGCCCTAGGGACAGTGATGCCGACAGTGACACAGGCAAGAAAGAGAGTGATGGGGAAGAAGGCCGCCTGCCCCAGCCCAAACGGGAAGGACCAGTGGGTGGGGAAAGTGACTCGGAGGACATGTTTGAGAAAACATCAGGCTTTGGGAGTGGCAAGCCTTCAGAGGCAAGCGAGCAGTGTCCAGTAGAGCTTCTGAGAGCCCGAGAGGACACCGAATGCTTGGTGACCTTAAAGCAGGAGGCCCAGCGACTGGAGAGGACTGTGGAGCGCCTCATCATGGACACAGATGACTTCATCCATGACTCAGGGCTGCAGGACAGCAGCCTGGCCTTGACTGGGATCCAGGGTGAGGGTGAAAGGGGCCAGAATGAACCCCACCTGCTGGGGACCATCAGTGTAAAGATGAAAGCTTTCAGGAAAGAGCTGCAGGCCTTTCTGGAACAGGTGACCCGGATTGGGGATGGGCTGTCACCTTTGTCCCACCTCACGGAGTCATCGAGCTTCCTCTCCACGGTGACCTCTGTGTCCCGGGACTCCCCCATCGGGAACCTGGGGAAGGAGCTGGGCCCAGACTTGCAGGTAAGGGGGCTTCTGGCTTTGCCTCCCTGCTCCGTCTTGCTCTTCCTCCTCCTGGCTGGCATTTTTGCTCTGGGGCTCGCATTGCTCACGGCTGCTTGGTTATGATTTCAGACCTGCATTTGTACTAAAGCCTCCAGCACCAACCAAATCCTTTCTCTTGGTTGGGTTGTTTTGTTTTGTTTTTTTTTTTTAAGTTCTCTTTATTTCCTTGTTTCTTCCTCCGTTTCTTCTTTTGATTTTTAACTTTGTGGCTGCTGGTAGCTCAGAGGCCCCCCCCCTCATGACAAGGCTAAACCTAGTGGGGGCTCTAGAGACCAACACAGCCTGTCCCTGCTCCTTTCTCAAACAACCAGCCACCTCGATGAAGAAATAATAAGGAGTTTAAGACAGATACCAACTCCTGCCACAGTCAGGATGGTTAGCAGACTCGCTCGTAAGCATCCGAATCCCTGCATGGGTTTCTCCCCAGAGGGACACAGTGCAGTTCTGAGAGGCCTTAGGTGACCCAGGCCCATTCACTCCCACTGGAAGATAAGCCAGGCTTGGGGAGAGGCGCCCCCATTCTGAGAGAAGGTTGTTTTTGATGGAAATTCCCACTGCCGGCTCACCCCTGCTGCCCTCCTGTGCTGCTGAGGGCAAGGCATGGAGGGGCTCACAAGGACCGCTTTCCCAGGCATCACCCTGGGTGCATGGCCCAGCTGCCACCCTGGACTGTGCCTTGTGCTGCTCAACCCACAAGTAAGGAAGGCAGAGCCTGTTTTCTGTGTCCCTCATGGCTAGTGTGCTCTCCATTGAGTCGTATGTGATTCTGTGTCTCCATTGCACGCGCTTCATCCATTACTAGTGTTTGCATTCCCCGCCCCCTTTCTCTTCTCAATTTCTAGATACTTCATTCCATCTTCATTTTACTTCTCATTTTCCTTTGCCACTGTGTTTACGCTGGTTTTCCTGTTCATGATTTTGTCTGGTAGTTTTTTCATTGTCTGCCTTACCGGTTTTGCTTTATCCACCTCCCTACCCTTTATCTGCTTGTCCTCTGTTTCTCGTTTAAAAATCGAAATCTCAAAACACAAACAAATCCTTCCCGTGCACCTAACAGTGGAAACTGAGAGATCAGCTGGAGTGGTCGCTCTCTCAGGAGCGCGGGGACGAGAGAGATGGCCTGCGCCTCCGAGCTGCCGCACGAGAGCTGCACCGCCGGGCTGACGGGGATGTTGGGAACCACCGGCCTGGAGGCCAGAGCGGCTTCAACCTGCTAGAGGTGAGTGTGCTAGCTGAAGGCCGTTCCACCTCTTTCTACCCATTTTCTGTGTGTCTGGCTGTGTGATGTTTCCCATGGGACAATGTCCTTAGGCAAACGTAGAAGGAAGACCTGGAACCAGGTAGAACTTAACCTGGAGTCAGAATCCATTGCAGGTAATGACAAGCAGGATATGTACAAGGGTGCAGATGGGTGACCTGCAACTGTCCTTGTCAAATGGGAGGGATAGCTCACAGCAACATCCTCCCTTTCTTCACCCCCCAGAACTGGACACCCGAGTCACAGAGGTACCTGGAGGAGTGAGCAGACAGGCTGGATTGACTTGCAAGTGTCCAATGGCTTCCTGCCCTACAGCAGAGAAGGCAGAATCTTTGTTGGTCTAGAAGAAGCTTTCCTTTTCTTCTATTCTTCATTGCCTGTGTCTCCTATGACTTGCCCCATGGTCTCTGGCAACACTTGTTTTGGCCTATTGGTAGAATCAAGGATGTTTTCTCTCCCACTTGTGGCATCCTCAGTCAGCTCTGTTACCATAGTAACAATTCGTACACACAACTGCAGCCGCCTTTATTGCTGAAACTATCGGTCGTTCTGTAAGAAGGGAGCTTTGAAACAAGGCACCCCACACAGAACAGAAAGGTCTGCCCCAGCAGCAGGCCCTGGCTGGATCCCTGCCTGGCACTCAGGGTATTAGCATTTTTACAGCGGCACATTCTCTATTAGAAAAGGGCATGTCTTCCCAGACACAGAAGAACCTCCTCTCTTAATACTGAGACATGGGAGTAACTCCCCCAGGGCAGAGCTGAGAGAGAGGTATAACAGCTGGAAGCAAACAGATCACCAGGCAAAAAAGCTGGTCTCTGTAATTAAGAAATGTCGCCCCAGGTCCATGTGGTGTGTTGCTGGTGAAGTAGGAACCAACGCCATTATAGCATTAGCTACTGTGGAGCCGTTGCTCCTCCCACAAGAGACCAAATGGGTCTGATTTGTGGCATTTCCCCTGGCCTTGGTAAGAGAGTGCATTATGTCTGTACCTTTGTGCACACAAGGACATGAAAATCATTTTCTGAAAGCTTAAACAAAAGCTAAAAAGTATTAGGAAACACCATGTACAGTCCTGTCCTGTCATCTTCATGCTAACTGAGAGGCCAGAGTCACCTGAGAAGGTGGCAGACAGGTCCATACCCCAGAGGAAAATAAGTGTGGTACCACTCTGTGTACTAAAAAGGTGTGGCAGGAGATGCTCCCCACACCAAAGAGCCAAGCACACACTTGTGTAGCCTTGTGGGAAGCAGGCAGTCTTAGCATGCCCATTGGAGGGGTGTAGGGTGTCACCATAGGAACTGGAGAGGTCACCTGGTGAGAACACCCAGTTTGAGCATCTGCCATCTTACATTTAACATTTCCTGAACAACATTGTTAGACACAGAGTTAGGCAATGTGACATCATACCCACTTCAGTATGTGATATTTCAAAAACAGCAAGTCAGATGTTCCTCTCTTTTATATCAGAAGCAAAACAGAATAGCTGAATGTTTGGGACATTCATTTATTTTCCCCATGGATTTAGTGAGTTAACCCATATGACTTACTGGAACTTTCCCAGGAAGTACTTTTGTTAGCTTGTACTGTGTGCAGGGTCATCCCCTGAGAATGCTGGATATGTGGGCAGTTACAAACTCAAAAGGCTGGACAGAGAACCTCAGGAAGGTCCATTTCCCAGCCTCTAATTAAGGCTATTGCACCAAGCTAATTTTAGCAGGGGCATTGTAGAAAATTACCAATGTGGTTTTTCAGGCAAGTCTCATGGCTTCTACTTTCTCATCTGTGAGGCTGTGAGGTATAAGGGTCGCAATACTGCCTGCCTCATCGTGTAGGGGGAGGTGACTTCCAGAACCAATGAGCTGCTAAATGAGGAAGTGTCTCAAAAATACCAGATGCTGTGACCCTGAAAAGGAGGGTTAATATAAAGAGAAGCCACTATGTGCCAACTTTGTAGAGTGCCAGGAGGGCCCCCATCATGGTATCAGTTTTCTGTGCCCTTTCTCCTTTTCCACAGTTGTTTCCCAATCCTGGGTCAGAACCATAGCTCAGGCTGTACACAGCTCCTTTTCCAGGGGCCCCTCATTCAGGCCATGTTGTATCCAGTCGTGGCTAGGGAAGCTCTGTGAGTATTGGAGATCTTCTCACACTGGAGCAATGATCAGGTGCCACACAAATGCATGCATCCCAGAGAGTCATCTACTAGCACAGAGAAAAATAAAACACTTGGCTAAATGACAAGGACAGGCAACATCCACAAGAGGCAGATGAATCATGCTGGATGGTGCCATATGGTGACATGGGGATCACTGACACGTGTAATTCAGTTAAAGCAAAGGAGAATGGCTGGTCTTTAGACTTACTCTCTTGTTCCATAATGAGGAAAATGAGGCCTGGGAAGTAAAGCCTTTACTAATGAGCCTCTAGGCAAATTGGTCACAAACTAGATTCTGAGCTCTGGCAGAGAAGCCAGTCAGCACCGAGCCTGGGCTGTGTTTCTAGTCACCGTCACTCAGGGGATTGACCATACAGCCAGCTATCTGCCTTGGTAGTCATTTCACTTTCTTATTTTAATGGAAGGCCTAGAGGAGGGAGCATTGTTTCCTAGAAGGGACTGGAGTGTTAATCAGGACTCATGAGTCCTTCCTCTTTCATCCTTCCCTCTGACATTTGTAGTCACAAAGGCATTTCACATGGAAGAGAAAACTTGAGAATGCAAACACATTCTATTTTGAAAGAGGCTTTTCATGAAGCCCCTTCAGTATGTCCACATGCTTCCTTTGGCTAGAAGGGCTGATTGTCAGTCCCTGTAGGGCCTGGATCAGGGATGATGCCATAGTCTGGCTAACCTGGTTGTGAAATGTATGTTTATGTGAAAGGGCGCATTTACAAGGACTAATGAAAAGACCCCTAAATTCATTGTGAGCAGTATATGTTTGTGAAAAGCTATCATGGAAATGGCACACAGAGCTCCCCTGGAACAGCAACTCAACCCAAAAAGGCTCTCTGTGTTAAAGGCTCCATGACTCAGTCACTGACAAAAGACAAATGTGCCCCCTTCCCTTCCTTTCTTAACCTCCCCTCTCCTCCCTTTCCTCTTCTCCTCTTCTCCCTTCTCCCCCTTTCCTCTTTTCCCCTTTTGCCCTTCTCCCCTTCTCCTCTCACCAGCTTCATCCCTTCCCCTTCCTACCTCCCCTCTCTACCTGTCCCTCTTCTCCCTTCCTCTACTGGCCCTTCCTTTCTCTCACTCTCCCCTCTCTTTCCTTCCTTTCTCTTCCCTTGGATGGGAAAGGATAGAACTCAGGGCCTTGCAGATACTCTGCCTGCGGAGTACACTGCCACTGGGCCACACCCTGAGCCCCAGCCCCAGATATTCTCATCCTGAAAGAGGCCAGCATGCAGTTGAATACAGTTGAAGATGTGCTGCTAGCAGTTGTCTTTATGTCCTTCACTGCCCTTTAAATAACCACTGATTTTGTCCTCTGGCCAACTACTTGTAGCTGTGTGGAGTCCTCTTTGTGCTCCTTGTCATTAGTTACTGGGGGGCTGGGAAGATGGCAGCAGTACTAGCACAAAAGAAGAGACAGCTTTGTAAATTTCTGAAGTTGTCTATAAGGATCAAGCCCCATTTGTGAACTTGACTTTAGACATTTTCATATTTGGGGATAGAGAAAGAAGATAAGTTGTTAGTTTGGAAGATGATATTTTAGCCATGTTTAAATTACAGTAGTACCAACAGCAGCAGTAATAACACCAAGGAGATAAATAAAAGTCTGTCTTTTACTGTCAGCGGACAGGGGACTGCTGCTCGGCTGACACCCATCACTACACTTAGAGAAAGCAAAGTGTTTCCAGGCCAGCTTTCTTTTCTTTTTCTTTTTTCTCCCCTTTTCTTTTGTTCTCTTCTTTCCTTCTTCTTTCCTCCCTCCCTTTTCTTTTCCTTTCCTTCCTTTCTTTTCCTTTCCTTCCTTCCCTCCCAACCCTCCCTTCCCCCTCCATTTCTGGCTTTTTGCTGGTTAACTGGCAAGTCTCATGGACTTTTCTTCTTGAGTTGGCTTTGAACCTTGATTCTCAGATCTCAGCCTTCTGAGTAGTAGCTAGGATTGCAAATGTTAATCATCAGCACCTAGCTGGTCTAACATTCTTAACACAACCACAACTAGAATAAACAAAAGTCAGAGCTCCTGAACATCCACAATTAATACAACTATGTAGACCTTAACTACTAAAAACTAAAGATAGGCTTCCTGATGCTTACCACAGGCTATATTGCACTATATAGAAAGAGGAGGCAGAGTAAACCTACCCCATATACACCTCAGCAGGCCCAGTGCCTGATGTGTATTGTGAACAAGAAGACTTGGGGAAAAAAAGCCCAAAAAACTAAAGACAGCCCAACAGACTTCAGAAGGAAGTCTGTTGCCTGTTGATCCCTGTAGATATTGATTGGCCAGATGCTAGCACCGTTTGCTGGCCTCTTCCCCTCTACCTCCCATTAAACATGCTGAGAGATTCACATTTGTGAAGAGCACAGTGTATAGAATTTTTCAGGTGGAATGTTCCAGGCCCCTTAAAAATAGTTCTGAATGAGAAGTGGCCATGCACGGACACTGGTCAGATTTCACATATAAATGAAACCAAGCCTGTGCCCAGAGGATTGAGTTTCTGGGTCAGAAATCTCAAAGAGCTTTTCTCCCTGGCTCCTCCTTTTATCCTTTAATCATCGAAGCACACTGAGCATCTGAGATCACTATGCCTCAGCTGTGAATACCATGTGAATACCAACCGCAGAAAAACTGTGTGGGATTTATGCCAAGTATTTGTACACATGTGTTGACCTCATAGCCCGCGTTTGAAAGGAGTGGTGGCAGAACTGGCAAGGATAAAATGGAGCCCACCAGAAGTGAAGTCATGGTAATGGAGGCATTGTAGAGTCCTGGTGTGTAAGTTGCATTGCTGAG